GAACGCTGTGAGAGTCGAGTGTAATATAACCGCTGGAGCTTACTTGAACGGAAACACCGTTCACGATATTCACGAATTTTTTCCAGCAGTACCGCCTGGATATAAAATTATTGAAATTCCCTCTCGCGTGATTTATCTTCCAGTTACGAAAAAGTCTATAGATTATTTACAATTACGCATCGTCGATCAAGACGGAAATTTAATTAATTTTCGCGGTGAAGTCATAACCATCAGATTACACCTCAAAAGCGTATAATGGGAATTGTTTACGATTCAAAGAGTGGTAGGGACTATATAAGCATTGAAAAATGCAAACCCATCATCAGTCGTCGACTGAAATTGAAAACGTCAACACGACGAACTCCAGTCATCAATCGTCATCGGAAAGCGAAAGCTTTAACACGTCAAAGCATAAAATTCCTAAAAAGTCTTGGGTTAAGAGTAGTTCCAGGTGGAAAATAAATTGCCTAATATTTTCTTTTTGCTGCTGCTTTCAACGAAACAATGGAGAACATTCTCGAAATACAGTCACATGTCGTCTTCGATGAATCTTTGGCTCATTACGAGATCCACGCTCATCAACCTTACACCAATTCATCGTTCAAAAATAGTTACGAGATTCGTATATCAATTCAACATCAAGACTTGTGCCTTTTACCATCTCGCAGCTCGTTACACATTTGTGGACGATTACGCAGCAACAGTAACACTTTGTTAACGAATACTGATTTTGTTAATAATGCCATTTGTCACATGTTTGAAGAAATTAGGTATGAGCTGAATGCTATAGAAATAGATAAATGTAAGAACGTTGGTCTCACAACCGTTATGAAGAACTGGTTATCTCTCACTCCAAGTCAAACCTTGATTGCCGAAAATGCCGGATGGATAAATACCTTAGAACAAGAGGACCGTAAAATAACTAATGCGAATGGCGACTTTGACATTTTGATTCCTCTGAGCTTCATACTTGGATTCGCTGAGGACTATCGTAAAGTGCTAGTGAATATGAAACATGAATTAATTCTCGTAAGATCGAGTACTGATTTAAATGCAGTTTATCAAACGAAGAAGACCGTGGCCAACGTTGAAGCTTACGAAGAATTCAAGATTAATGTAACACGTCTCGAATGGCTTATGCCCTATGTGACTGCATCGAATGCAAAGAAAATACGTCTACTCGACTTTCTAAAAAGCGAACGAAGTATTTCAATGAGTTTTCGTAGTTGGGAACTGTACGAATATCCAGCGCTGCCTGCAAACACAATACACGTCTGGACAGTTAAAACGACAAATCAGTTGGAGAAACCACGCTACGTCATCTTAGCCTTCCAAATCAATCGAAAAAATGAACCAAACTCTAACGCTAGTATATTTGATCATTGTAACATCAGAAATGTAAAACTGTACCTCAACTCTCAGTGCTATCCATACGGTAATCTCAATATTGATTTCAGTAAAAACCAGTACGCAATGTTGTACGATATGTATGCCAATTTTCAAAACGTATACTACGGTAAGGATGCCGAACCGATGCTCAAAAAACTCGAATATAAAAATTACATGCCACTCGTAGTGATTGACTGTTCGAAACAAAACGAATCATTAAAAACTGCTCTAGTAGATGTGCGCTTGGAGTTCGAAACCAGAGAAAATATTCCCGAAGGAACTACAGCGTATTGTCTTATTCTACACGATCGCATCGTTCAGTATAATCCGATAAATGGAGATGTGAAGAAACTTATTTAAGAGTGGGGGGGGGGTATTAAAGAATTGACTCTTTCCTTAAGCAGCTCAGTAGTAGCTTTCTATCGCAATGGAGTACGTAGTGGATATGCAAGGCTTCATGATGCCTGGCAAAACTTATGCCGTGAAAGAGTTAGCGATACTCCCACTTAACTACAACGAAGAACCGCTCGTACGCTTGTTCAAACCTCCCTTTCCATGGCGAAGGCTAACGGAGAAATATAAGCGAGAAAATCTCTGGTTAGAACTCTACTATCATGGATTAACATGGAACTCTGGCGATTATAAATACGAAGAGCATAAATTCATCATCACAGATACACTCAAAGATGCCACAAAAATTTTCGTTTCCGGAGATTTGAAAAAAGAGTGGTTAGAACGATATGGCCTCAAAGTTTTCGATTTGAATGATTGGGGCTATTCGCCTTTCGAAAAATTAAAATCAGTTACCGTGTGCCCTAATCATAACGGCAAATACGTAACGACATGTGCACATCAAAACGTTAAAATAATGAAAAAGTTTTATATTGATGGCTGTTGTATGGATTGGGAAGAGAGCGATGAAGTCGTTGAAGGATTTCTATAGTGATTTTGTTTTTAAGTAAATACTTTGTAGAATAATATGTATTTTTTTAAGAACATGTAGAATAAGATATATTTTTTATCAATAAAAAAATTTTGTTTCAATTGATACAAAAAAATATTCTTTTATTTTTTATTAAACCATCCAACAAAAAAAAAAGCATATACACAGATTTTCCCGCTTATTATTGCAGGAGAGATTTCATCGAAAATTCGAGAGACATTCGCGAATTTTGAGAAATAAGTTTTCTTAATTTACAAGTAAATAACCATTAATATTAAGTTTTTAACACATGTAAATTTTACAGAATTAGTTATTTGTTGATTTTATACAATATGTAATTATCGCCAATATTGTCGTCAAAAGTTATTAACTAATAAAGTTAATTAACGTGATATTACATTATTTACAATAGAAAATTATTAAAATTTCATATAACTTTATAGTTGATTAATTTTGGAAGTATTTTCCAAAATTAATTATTTAAATTAATTAATAACATTTGAATTATGACTAATTTTTCATATTTGTAACGGTTTTTTCTAATCTTAATATGCAATTATTAGATTAATTATCTAAGATTTCTAAGTCATAAAGTTATCATTATCAAGTATTAACTTAATATTTTCGTTTTATATATAGCTTATTGTTTAAATATATTATTAATTGTTTATTTATTAATAACAGTTATTATTCAGCTGTTATTAATGAAACCAATTCTTACTCATGTTCTATGCTTATTCATTTTGCATATAAATTATTTATATTTTTCTAATATTTCATATGTTAATAAATAAATCAACTTTGCATATTGATATTCATTATTAATTTATAATTGAATGAGATATTCTGAATCTACATGTTAAAATCTATATAATCGATACTTTGTTATATTAAAATTAACATATTTTTCTTAATATCATGAATCATTATATCTATGTCTATTATTTTGTGACGTCACGCTGTTTATTTTGATTCGACTCTTATTTGTATACAGTCGCGTAAACAGTGAGGTAGCGCCGCTTAATGTATTGTTTTGACTAAACAGATAGATACGTTAGACTAGTTGCAGTCATTCAGTGATTTAATAAATAGCTCATATATAGGACCGTTACATATTCGAAAGCTTGATTAAGAGAAAGCGCGCCGTCGATCTCTTTATACGCTAAATTGTTCTTAATGAAGGCAATAATTCCACCTCCTTGTTTATGTAGACGATCTTTTCTCAGGGTCTTGAATTCAGGGAAATGTAGGCTAGCGTCGATATTATTCAGCTGTGATTTCTACACACACAAAAATGTTAATATGCTTGAGAATTTTGGGAATTTCTTCGATCCTGGCTCTAATACTTCTACAGTTCCAAAACACAATTTTGAGATCTTCAGAAACAACTTCTGCCATTATGAGAATCTAGGTTTCCGTATCTCCTTCGTAATTCTCTTGAGTTAAAAGGGACAATTTTTCCGACAATCTTTTACATCGGGCCTTAAGTTTGTGATCAGAGATGAGGTAGAGTAGATCGCCAATCATCTTGTGAAGACCGGTGAAATCATTAGTGAGTGATTCCGTGATAGATGCTATGTTACTTTTACCATAAGTTTGTTCGAGAAAGCTTTTGAAATTTTCAAAATTCAAACAGTAGGCCGTGGGATTATTTGTGATTTCGTCCTTCACAGCTTGGAGTGATGATTCAAGATCAGAGACTTCAGTTTCGCTAGACGAGCTATCGAGTATCTTGTCGCTTTTGTGTTTTTTGCTTAACGGTGGCTTGACTTTTTTCAGAGTACTGTTGCTATGGATTTTGACAGGGTCTTTATTTATCGGATTTAGTTTGTTATCAATCGGTATAGAGTAAGTTTCAAATTATCTTGAAAATAGCTTCGAAAATTTTTTTAAACTAGAATATGTCTCAGCCGAGCCTAACACTAAGTACTCTATTTTTACTGAAATTGTAACGAATGCTATTAAAGCAAATACACCTGTAAAGAGAATCGTTAATAACAAAAACCATCGCAATCCGGTTCCCTGGTGGGATTCGGACTGCGACAGGGTTAAAAGACTCAGAAGAGCTGCGTTCAAAAAGTGGCGTTTCTCTAAAAAACAACATGATTTTATCGAATATAAGAAAGCAGTTGCAGTGGCTCATAAGACATTTAAAACTAAAAAAAGAGCAAATTTTCGTAATTTTGCCGAAACGCTCAACTTCAACATTAATTAAAATTACGTCTGGAATAAATCCAAGTTGCTTAAAAATAAATGGGTTAAAATTACCCCTAACAGCTCCTCCGAAAACCACTAGAACAATGATCTTATTAACGATTGTCTAGATCATATCAGTCCAACTTGGTGTCAAAACAATCCGGATGTTCTACCTAACTGCTTATCCAATACTCTACTTGAATCCTTGCTCAATTTTGCTGAATTCAACGCGGCTCTCAGCAGTAAAAGTACTCGTTCGTCATGCGGTGTCGACGGCTTAGACTATGAAGCTATTCAACGTTTACCAATAAAATACAAACTTATTCTCGTTAACATATACAATGATATGTATCAAAATAGCTCATTCCCAGTCTAGTGGAAAACATCCCACATTCACTTCATTAATAAACCCAATGGCAAAAGCGTAAGGCCAATCGCCCTCAGCTCATGTTTATGCAAAGTGTTCGAAACAATGCTTAAAACTAAGTTGCAATGGTGGGTTGAAACTAATAACATCCTCCCTGATTTTCAGACTGGATTTAGAAAAGGTCAATCCACCATAGACAACCTGATTGGTCTGACCCTAGAGGTCGAGGAGGCTTTCTCTGAGGGTAAAGAAGTTCTTGCTGCTTTCCTAGATATCCAAGGCGCATTTGACAATGTCAATGTCGAAATTCTTTTGGATAAACTTGCGGCTGTCGGCTGCCCCCTTATATTTATTAAATTCATTCAACACTTGACTTGGGATAGAATAATCTGCTCTGATATTCTGGGTGAAAATATTAGAACGGTATGCAAGGGCGTCCCTCAAGGAGGGGTCCTCAGCCCTTTATTATCCTGCATTTATATTGCGTCTGTCTGTAACCACCTACCGAAATCTGTTAAAATTGCTAATTTTGCCAATGACATCGCCTTTTATTGTCAACGACTTCCTCTCTCGTCTAGTATCAGAGTCATTGAAAAATCTGTCGAAGTAATCTACCAAAATCTCGAAGAAATCGGTCTTGACTTGGCTCCGCTCAAAACTGACTTACTTCACTTTAATAAGTCGAGAATTACTCCCGGCGAAACATCTATCCAAATTAGAAACACCACTATTTACTCCAGCGAAACAGTACTATTTCTTGGAATTCTCTTCGACCACAGACTCACGTTCAAACATCACATTAATGCCGTTATTCAAAAAGCACAAAGGGCTAACAATATCATAAAATACTTATGCGGTGTCACGTGGGGATATTGCCCTAATACACTACTCATTTTCTATGAAAGCTATATACGCTCCATTTTAGAATATGGCTGTTATGTCTATTACCCTACGACTACGACACTCAGCCATGCCATCGAAAAAGTTCAATTCTCATCCATTAGACTCGCGCTTGGCTACCGTATGAGCACTCCTAATAATATTCTCTTATCCGTATCCAAACTACCTTTCGTTGAAGAGCGCGTCTATTTCCTATGCAAAAACTATATCAACAAAGTTATGTGCAATACTAGTCTTATTGCTCATAAAAATATCTTAAGGATTTTCAAAAAAGTCCAACACAATCAATGCAAGCTCAAGAAATCCAGAAGATTACTCATAAAGTGTATTAAAAATTCTGACTTTACCAACAGCACCATCTATACGAACAGCCACTACAACATTTATCTATACAATTATGACATTCCTTTTAACAATATCATAATTGACACCGAATTTGGTCCGCAGATTAGTAAACTTACTGATCTCAATGCTCAAATCAACAATCGATTAGCTGATGGAAATGCCTACGCTATTTTCACCGACGGTAGCAAAACACCCGACGGTATTTCAGTTGGCGCTGCAACTGTATGTGACAGACTTAATGTCTCAATCATGACAAAACTCGATAACAGAGAGTCCGTCTTTACGGCGGAATGCATTGCTATTAACGAAGCTGTTAAAATTGCTCTCAATCATACTAATCAGAATGTAATCATTTTCACTGACTCTCTAAGTGCGCTTTTATCTCTAAAAACTCTTAATCTTATTGTTAATATTCAAACCAACGCTTATATCTTTGATATTCATAAATTTCAGCAAAAAAGCCTTAATAATAGTTCCATTCAACTCATCTGGATTCCAGCGCACTCAGGAATTCAGGGCAATGAAAGCGCCGATCGCCTTGCCAAAGAAGCAACCTTACTAGCTCCCGACTCCGATCTGAAAATTCCTTCTCCTGACCTCAAAATGTACCTTAAAAATAATGCTCGTCTCAATACACTTAATATCATTTGCGAGGAAGGAACGATCAAAGGAAAAATTCTCTTTCAAAACTTTCACAACGACAAAATCAAGCCCTGGTTCCACAAACTCAAACTCCCAAGAAGTGCTATAACTACTATCAACCGTTACAGATCAGGGCATTATAATCTAAAAGCGTCACTTTATAAAATAGGACTATGTCAGGATACAACTTGCGATTGTAACTCTGAAGTTCAAGATCTTGACCACATCCTCTGGCAATGCCCAAAGTACGACAAAGAAAGAAACATATTAATCGACAACCTTAAGCTCTCTAGAATGTTCCTTCCTTCCTCCAGTATTGTGATACTAAGTAATATTAACGCCAAAATTGCTCGACATCTATATTCGTTCTTCAATGATTGTAAACTTATTATTTAATATTAAACTCAGTGATAATATCCTCACTTGATGTCAAACTACATCAGCTATATTATTGTTATCTTCTCTGTAACTCTTCACCCATAAAAACCAATGTATATTTATTCTCATTTCAGTCGCGATGTCGCCGTCGAGCGGTGCGGAGGTGCAACCGCCTGACGCATCATCGCTACATAAGCATTTCAAGTGTCATCCAAATACAAAAGTTGGAGCAGTTGTGTGTTTAGTATGTGGTAATTTCTATCATACGAGTGAAATAGTTGCAAAAATCAATGCAGGAAATGCAATCAAACTAATAAACAGCTCATTCATAATATGCCAGGAGCATCCAAATTTTGCACTAACATCAAACTTGCCATATGGGGACTTAAATGAACAAGCTAGTGCCTTTATAACACAATTCAAACTTGTAAGTAGAGAACAATTAAAACAGGAAATATTAAATGAGCTTGTGCATGAAAAGCAAATTATAAATGAAAACGATGATAATATGGACGTAACACAGATCAGTGATTTGGATGAATTACAACAATTAAAAGCCGAAAATAACCTATTGAAAGAACTATACAAAGAAACAAAAGAAAAAAATGAATTCCTCAATGAACTACTAATTAAAGAAAAACAAAATAAAAATACAAATACTAACATTATGAGAAAAACATATGCTGAAACAATTGCACTACCAAAACCTAAGCCCAAAAAAATACTAAGATTAATAATAAAGAAAAAGAGTAATGATAACATAAACTTAGAAAATCAAGTAGCACATTACTTAATTAAAGACAAAAACATACAAACAAAAAGTGTGCAAGTTAAAAATACTGACACAATAATTATCAACTGCATGACCGAAGAAAATGTCACAGAGTTAGAAAAAACTTTACAAAAAAAACTACCGGCACTTACTGTTCTAAAAGAAGAAATACGTAAACCGATAATTAAAGTAGTAGGAATTTCTAAAGCTTTCACAACAGTAGGTAAACTAGAGGGGCATCAACTCAGAGGGGTACTAGCTCACTGAGTTGAAGCGTGTGAGTTGAGGTGTGTGCATATTCACCTCATCCCCCCCCCCCTCCCGATCGGCCCGTGCACTGTCGATTCACCCCCCCCCCCCTCCTACTGAGTTATACCGATGCGTTCTACGCACTCCCCCTCCCCTACTGAGTTGATCTGATGTGGCGTATACCGGTGCGTTCTACGCACTCCCCCCCCTCCCCTACTGAGTTGATCTGATGTGGCGTATACCGGTGCGTTCTACGCACTCCCCCTCCCCTACTGAGTTGATCTGATGTGGCTTGATCTGATGTGGCGTGCGTTCTCTGCATTTCCCCCTCTCCCACTGATTTGATTCCTATGCACTACGCGCGTGTTCTGTGTTACGCGTTTTGATTGTTTTATTGTGTGTGTGTGTGTGTGTGTGTGTGTGTGTGTGTGTGTGTGTGTGCGCGTGTGCGCGCGTGTGTTAAAAATTTTTAGATTTATCTGAAAAAAAAACGGACGGATCGGGGGATCGAACGCGCGTCCTCCGGATCCGCAGGCCGATGCTCTACCGCTAGAGCTACAGCCACTGTTACCACGGGCAATACCGTATTGTGTATACTGGCTACACACGCGATTGATATGTGGGGGGGGGGGCGGCGGCGCCGGCGGCTGCTGCTGCTGCTGCTGGGGAGGGCCCAAGCGCTAATACATACAAATGATAATAAATTTTAATAAATATTTATTATAATTGGTATATAACGAATAATAATTTTTTATGTTCGATGTGTGCGCGCGGGCGCGCGTGTGTGCGTGCATGCGTGTCTCATCTACCGAAGATGGTTTAATAGAAAAAAACGTGCAAGTACCTGCTTACTTTCTTTTATTTGTAGACTTCGTGGTTGTAAGCTACTATAAATAGCACAGTGTAAGAATTATCGAATCTTTCATCAACCAGCATTCCAATAAAATGGATCGCTACTCTAAAGTAAAGTACTCTCGTCTTCCACAGGAAGACCCGGACGAAAAGAAGAACAAAGAATCATCGACATGGAAACAAAGTATTTCCAAATTTTCGAGCAATACTAAAAATTTTCCTGGACAAAAAGGCTATCAGCAGTTCAATAACGAAAAGAAGAAATAATCATATTTATACATGTCATCATTGTACACCACCTCAACTAATAAATAAACATTTTTTTGTCTAAATTCTATGTTGTATAAATTTTTTTTGTTGATAAAAAAATACAAAATTTATTATAAAAAAGATGAACTGCTGCTGCTGCTGCTGCTGCTGTCATCGTCAGAGTCAGCGAAGAATTTCGCTTTTTTTTTTTGTTGGATGGTTTAATAAAAAATAAAAGAATATTTTTTTGTATCAATTGAAACAAAATTTTTTTATTGATAAAAAATATATCTTATTCTACATGTTCTTAAAAAAAAAATACATATTATTCTACAAAGTATTTACTTAAAAACAAAATCACTATAGAAATCCTTCAACGACTTCATCGCTCTCTTCCCAATCCATACAACAGCCATCAATATAAAACTTTTTCATTATTTTAACGTTTTGATGTGCACATGTCGTTACGTATTTGCCGTTATGATTAGGGCACACGGTAACTGATTTTAATTTTTCGAAAGGCGAATAGCCCCAATCATTCAAATCGAAAACTTTGAGGCCATATCGTTCTAACCACTCTTTTTTCAAATCTCCAGAAACGAAAATTTTTGTGGCATCTTTGAGTGTATCCGTGATGATGAATTTATGCTCTTCGTATTTATAATCGCCAGAGTTCCATGTTAATCCATGATAGTAGAGTTCTAACCAGAGATTTTCTCGCTTATATTTCTCCGTTAGCCTTCGCCATGGAAAGGGAGGTTTGAACAAGCGTACGAGCGGTTCTTCGTTGTAGTTTAGTGGGAGTATCGCTAACTCTTTCACGGCATAAGTTTTGCCAGGCATCATGAAGCCTTGCATATCCACTACGTACTCCATTGCGATAGAAAGCTACTACTGAGCTGCTTAAGGAAAGAGTCAATTCTTTAATACCCCCCCCCCCCTCCTAAATAAGTTTCTTCACATCTCCATTTATCGGATTATACTGAACGATGCGATCGTGTAGAATAAGACAATACGCTGTAGTTCCTTCGGGAATATTTTCTCTGGTTTCGAACTCCAAGCGCACATCTACTGGAGCAGTCTTTAATGATTCGTTTTGTTTCGAACAGTCAATCACTACGAGTGGCATGTAATTTTTATATTCGAGTTTTTTGAGCATCGGTTCGGCATCCTTACCGTAGTATACGTTTTGAAAATTGGCATACATATCGTACAACATTGCGTACTGGTTCTTACTGAAATCAATATTGAGATTACCGTATGGATAGCACTGAGAGTTGAGGTACAGTTTTACATTTCTGATGTTACAATGATCAAATATACTAGCGTTAGAGTTTGGTTCATTTTTTCGATTGATTTGGAAGGCTAAGATGACGTAGCGTGGTTTCTCCAACTGATTTGTCGTTTTAACTGTCCAGACGTGATTTGTGTTTGCAGGCAGCGCTGGATATTCGTACAGTTCCCAACTACGAAAACTCATTGAAATACTTCGTTCGCTTTTTAGAAAGTCGAGTAGACGTATTTTCTTTGCATTCGATGCAGTCACATAGGGCATAAGCCATTCGAGACGTGTTACATTAATCTTGAATTCTTCGTAAGCTTCAACGTTGGCCACGGTCTTCTTCGTTTGATAAACTGCATTTAAATCAGTACTCGATCTTACGAGAATTAATTCATGTTTCATATTCACTAGCACTTTGCGATAGTCCTCAGCGAATCCAAGTATGAAGCTCAGAGGAATCAAAATGTCAAAGTCGCCATTCGCATTAGTTATTTTACGGTCCTCTTGTTCTAAGGTATTTATCCATCCGGCATTTTCCGCAATCAAGGTTTGACTTGGAGTGAGAGATAACCAGTTCTTCATAACGGTTGTGAGACCAACGTTCTTACATTTATCTATTTCTATAGCATTCAGCTCATACCTAATTTCTTCAAACATGTGACAAATGGCATTATTAACAAAATCAGTATTCGTTAACAAAGTGTTATTGTTGCTGCGTAATCGTCCACAAATGTGTAACGAGCTGCGAGATGGTAAAAGGCACAAGTCTTGATGTTGAATTGATATACGAATCTCGTCACTATTTTTGAACGATGAATTGGTGTAAGGTTGATGAGCGTGGATCTCGTAATGAGCCAAAGATTCATCGAAGACGACAGGTGACTGTATTTCGAGAATGTTCTCCATTGTTTCGTTGAAAGCAGCAGCAAAAAGAAAATATTAGGCAATTTATTTTCCACCTGGAACTACTCTTAACCCAAGACTTTTTAGGAACTTTATGCTTTGACGTGTTAAAGCTTTCGCTTTCCGATGACGATTGATGACTGGAGTTCGTCGTGTTGACGTTTTCAATTTCAGTCGACGACTGATGATGGGTTTGCATTTTTCAATGCTTATATAGTCCCTACCACTCTTTGAATCGTAAACAATTCCCATTATACGCTTTTGAGGTGTAATCTGATGGTTATGACTTCACCGCGAAAATTAATTAAATTTCCGTCTTGATCGACGATGCGTAATTGTAAATAATCTATAGACTTTTTCGTAACTGGAAGATAAATCACGCGAGAGGGAATTTCAATAATTTTATATCCAGGCGGTACTGCTGGAAAAAATTCGTGAATATCGTGAACGGTGTTTCCGTTCAAGTAAGCTCCAGCGGTTATATTACACTCGACTCTCACAGCGTTCACTCTGAGAATACTGACGGGAAGATCAGAGTTGTGAGAAACGTTTGCCTCTAATGTACGTTGTGAAAAACCCAACAATCGTCCGATAGAATTCTGCGGACGAAAATCGATAGGTTCGGAACACTTGATTGTACAATGTAAGGTGTTGTTGTTTGGTTTCAAACTAAATATTATATTATTATTATTATCAGTACGGAGAGGCTGC